CATTACTCAGTTCCAAGTTCCCACATGAACAGAGAAAATCATTCAAAATCAGAAGGCCATCAGTCCATGACTAAGTAAGGCTTTCTTTTGCAATATTTTCACAAATTAAAAGTGCAATATCTACTCCAAGGTCTGCAGAAAGTAACTAAGAAGAAATAATTAGTTATTTTAGCTATCAGAAACATTTGAGGGCAAAAAGGCACGGCAAGGATAATATTGTGACATACCTGGGAAGAAGGTAAGAATTCCGAGGACTCATATTCTTAGCTAATTTTAGCAGCATTTGTGATTTCTTTGCATATTTTTCAAATCTTTTGCCTGACAGAATAAAACAATTTTTCACATGGTATTCAATAGAACATTTTTGAATTAAAGGAGAAAAAACAAGTATAATATGATAAATCTTAAGACAATGACCACAAAATCTCAACACAGCATACATAAAGGGAATGGAAAATCCTAAAATCCCATCTGACAAATATAGAAAAGTTCGAAACTTTGCCATCTAAAATAAAAATGAGAAATCAACTATGCTGACTCACTCTCACTCACCAACAAGCTCTGCCAAACTCCATGTTTACTTCATAATGCATAATCATAGTCATGCACTTCAACATCCACACACCCATCCCCAAGATGTTTGCATGGATAATTTGCAGTGTTCGGGGAAACAATATATGGGTCAATAAATCAACTCACTTTGCATGATCTCATACTAAACAACCATTCTTTTAGGGAAAAAAATAAGCTGTTCAAGCAAAATTATAACAGAAAAATCTGGACTTTACATAATTCAAATCAATTTCCCACATTTTTCGAATAGCAAGAACCCTAACTAAAAACAAATCATAACCCAAAAATAATAATGACAGTAGAAATGAAATCCAAAAATAATCTGGCACGCATGCAGATATGAATGTATAGATACAGAAAATAAAGACACAATACAAGTACATAGAGAGAGACTTACAGAGCTGAGGAGGAGAAATAAGACAAGAAATCTTTAGAAAGAAAAAATTATACAAAAAAAATAGCAGTGAAGAAAAATTATGGGTGCGAATTCTAAGTATCGTTTTTATCTGCTGGAAAACTCCACAGTTGCAGAGCCGAGGAGATAAGGAGAGGTGCAAACAAAACGGACCGAGTCCTTTAACTCCTGGTTCTTGGGGATCAATAAGAAACAAATTAAAGTCAAAGGATGTAATTAGAACACCATAAACTCTAGTGTAGTATTGCCGGAAATTATTCGCTTCGAACACAAACGAAGTTAGGGATATGATAAAATCAATAAAAAAGGCTAAGGAACTAATTAAATTATATTTAAAAGTATGAGGAGACCCATGCAATTCTGAACTAAAAATAGTGCTGCTGCTGGTATGCTTTTTCGGTGACGTAATTAATAAGAAAAAATGGAAAAAGAAAGGAAGTTATCCTCTCAGGTCTCAGCCTCAATTGCGGGTAGGTAAGTTCTTCTTCCCCAAATTTCCACTGCGAATTCAAATTATGGCAAGGGTTTCCATTGTAAATGTGCGCTGTTACTTGCTTCTCTTATGCATGTATCGAAGAGTGTCAGGATTGCATGCATTTTCGTTGTTAATTTGGGATATGATTTGGGCCTTTGGTGTACATTTTTGGATGTATATCTGTATCTGATTTGGCTGTGAAATGGATTCGAGGAGTGGTTTGAATATTGGTGTTTGCTCTTTCTAGGGATGTCTGATTCAGTGCTTTATTAAAGCGGAGATTTTTATGTTGAATTTTGAATGAAGAAACTCGGGAAAGAGATGGATTGTCTTTCTTAGCTCATAGTGTGAGTAATTTTCCATCTTTCTTGTTTTCTGTTTCGTTCCATGATGGATCATATTTAAAGATAGACACTTTTTAGTATGTTAGTTCCTGAATGTATGCATGTGTAATTTTCGTCCAAAGAAGGGGTTTAAAGTACAATGTATCAAAAAATGGCTCTAGAAGGGGTGATATTCAGTGGTGATGAGTCCTTTAAAGAGTGTCAACTCATGCAAATGTATTAACGCTATCGTCACTGCAAGTTTAATTCCCATCTATGGCAGCAGAAAAGTTTCTTACTTGCATATGCAGCTTCGTTTATTGGGAAACTGTTGGAGATTTGCCCGGTGGTTCTTTAACTTTGAAGCCATTGTACAATTTCTGTTTTTTCTGCAAATATTCAAATTGTTGTTTTGTGGCCTATGGTTGCTTAAAGCCTTTGGTTTCTTGTTTTTGATCTTCAATTTTTAACTTTTCAAACAGAAAAATTGAAGAATGGATGGAGCATCTAACAGAGGTAGTAGTGGTGTGGATGTGATTTTGCCAAATTACAAGCTTGGTAAAACTCTTGGTATTGGGTCTTTTGGCAAGGTGAAAATTGCCGAGCATGTATTGACTGGACATAAAGTTGCTATCAAGATTCTTAACTGTCGCAAGATTCAGAAGATGGAAATGGAAGAAAAAGGTATTTTTTATATGCTTAGGTATGATTTTATTAAGTTTATTACTGTATTTTGAATATTTAACTCCTATATTCCTATCATCTAAATTTGGGAAAACTGATTAAGAGGATAAAGAAGGATCAACAGCCCTTAAATTCGAAAATATGGTGCCCTTGTCTTTGGGTGAAAATCAAAACCTTAGGTTTTCGTCAGTAAATCCTTGTTTTCAGAGGGTTTAACTATTTTCAATAGCCTCTCTCTTCAGCTTACATTTCTCCTTCTTTGAGTGTCATTGTTGCTTCAGTTTTTGCATGGAATACTGAAATTTGATGTGCTTAATTATGAATGGCTATTTTTTGCCTTCTTGTTTTTATTCCTTTTAATTTCTTTTCTTTTCATGCAGTTAGAAGAGAAATCAAGATTTTGAGATTGTTTATGCATCCTCATATCATACGACTTTATGAGGTGATTGAGACCTCGACTGACATTTATGTTGTTATGGAATATGTTAAATCGGGAGAACTCTTTGATTACATTGTTGAAAAGGGTGGGTTGCAGGAAGATGAGGCACGTAATTTTTTTCAACAGGTATTGATTGAAATTAATATTAATGGATACCCTGTGCTATTTGTATCTTTCAAAAAATATGTTGCAGTTGAATGAACTCTGTTTTGAGCTGATTATTTCTGGAGTTGAGTACTGCCACAGAAATATGGTGGTTCATCGAGACCTTAAGCCTGAGAACTTGCTTCTAGATTCTAAATGTAATGTGAAGATTGCTGATTTTGGCTTGAGCAATGTAATGCGAGATGGTCATTTTCTAAAAACAAGTTGTGGAAGTCCAAATTATGCTGCCCCAGAGGTATTGAGTTTGTGAATACTTCCTTAGTTCCTTCATTTTACAAAAATGGTCTACAACCCAAAATGATTAAAAATTTGATTAATGAGAAAAATTAATAACTTTGTGTAAAAGTTAAAGTTGAAATGTGAAGTCTTATCTTTTTAATTATATTGAACAATTAAATATTAATCATTTTGTATATATACTCAAATATGAAATAATAGGAATAGATTAGGATGGACAGCCAACATTTATAAGTAGGAAAGGTATTTCATTTGTCTTTCTTTTCTATTAAAAATTGATTTACTTGCTGTGAATTCAGCTTTTAATGTACTGGTTTGCTGTGTCATTTTGTAGGTTATTTCTGGGAAGTTGTATGCTGGACCTGAAGTCGATGTCTGGAGCTGTGGTGTTATATTGTATGCTCTTCTTTGTGGTACCCTTCCTTTTGATGATGAAAACATTCCCAATCTTTTCAAGAAAATTAAGGTAATTAGGATAAATCTATACTGCGTACTATTGTAGACTAAAGATATCTACTTAGCAAAATATTGTGCATGGTGCTGCTTGTTCAAAACCCAGGATTGATTAATGATTATGGCCTAGATTGTCATACATAATCATCAGCTGACAATTAATTTGTTAATGTTGTCTCAGTTATCCTTCATCCTATTTGTAAAGGAAAGCTACCTCCCCCCATGCTTCTTTTCCACCCAGTGGAGGAGGTCTTGATAACACACTGTAATTGGGGCTGATACAGCTTTCTGTCCTTGATTCTTGAAAGTTCCATGGTAGTTTGAAGCCTATCCTTTTGTTCGTGGTAGTCTTAAGAAATATATTAATTCTAGAGGATGATTTAAGTCAGCTATATTTTTACTCACTGTCAGTTTCTAGTTTGCCTATGTTTGTAAGATTATAGATTCTAGAAATATGAAATGGCTAGTTAGCGTAAATGTCAACATTATCTTGTTAATATAACTCATTCTTTTCATGCTTTCTGTCCTCTAGGGTGGGATATATATGCTTCCAAGCCATTTATCCCCTGGTGCTAGAGATTTGATCCCAAGAATGCTTGTTGTTGACCCAATGAAGAGGGTCACCATTCCTGAGATCCGTCAGCATCCATGGTTTCAAGCACATCTTCCACGGTATTTAGCTGTTCCACCACCAGACACAATTCAACAAGCAAAAAAGGTCAGATGAGGTTTTAATTCTTTATTTTAATTGTTTTCCTTAAAAGATGGATTGCTGTTGAAGTCCATTTTCCATCTTTATAAATTTGCCAATAGTGTGTCTCCTTCTAAGCTAGTGAACTGTTGAAATCTAGCTCTGCTAATTACTAGAAATGTCACTTGCACATGATTCCTCATGTTATTAGGTAATATAAAAAGGGAAACTTATTCAAGAAAGCTTTTGGATACTCCAGTCATGATGATAAAGTCAGACACCTTATGTTATTTGAGTCACCAGTCATGTTTTAACCACTCCAGTTTAATTTCAGATTGATGAGGAGATACTTCAGGAGGTGGTTAAGAAGGGATTTGACAGGAACCAACTCATTGAATCACTTTGTAACGGGATACAAAATGAGGTTTGTACTTTCCAACTAATTTCCTATTCTCTCAGTTTCCATCCAGTTTCTTATTATTGTGATAATATCTATCAGGCTACTGTTGCATATTACTTGTTATTGGACAATCGGTTCCGGGTTTCCAGTGGCTATCTTGGAGCTGAGTTTCAAGAAACTGTGGTGAGTTTTCTTTCTACCTTTTTGAGATTAATTTTTAGATTCCTAATAGAAGTGTTTTAAGCAATTGATATATACTTTTGTTGCTTCACTGAGATTTGGAGTGCTAATTTAGATTTCCTTTCCTAATACATGTTTTTACCTTTTAGGATAGTGGTTTGAACCATATGCATCCAAGTGAACCACTGTCTCCAGCTCTTGGACACCGTATGACAGGATATATGGATTATCAAGGATTGACACAGCTTGGTTTGAGAGGGCAGTCTCCAGTTGAGAGGAAATGGGCTCTTGGACTGCAGGTTTGAGCTATTTTTGTATGCAATAGAGCCAATTAGCTGTACATGTGATTTAGTTAAATAGGTGATTATAACATTGTGTTTGGAAATTATTAAAGATCAGTGCTTGTATCAACTTGTTCTCTGTTGTTTCTAGGAAAAAGATTAGGAGTTTCATACAGCAGGTTAATCTTAATGATATTGTAACTGTTTAGAGAAGTTTATGAGATATTTTTGGCTCCCTTTAGTGTGGAGCAAAATCCTTCGATTATCACTGATCATTGTTTTATCCATTGTTCTGCAGTCTCGAGCACATCCTCGTGAAATTATGACAGAAGTCCTCAAAGCTCTGCAAGAATTGAATGTGTGCTGGAAGAAGATAGGGCACTACAACATGAAGTGCAGGTGGATTCCTGGCATCCCTGGTCATCTTGAAGGCATGGTTAACAATGCTGTGCACAGTAGTCATTATTTTGGTGATGAATCAAGCATTATTGAGAATGATGGGATTATTCAATCACCAAATGTCGTCAAGTTTGAGCTGCAGGTAATGCCTATCTGAGAAAGTTCCTCGTGATTATTGGTCTTGCAAGTCATTTAAATGGCAGTAATGGATGACTGGATTGTTATTTGGTAGTTGTTTTCAGAAACTTTCCCTGCAGTAGATAAATTTATGGCAGAAGTTGTGAAATTACCAATTGAATGCTAACATGTTCTGGTTGCATTGTTGTTAACAGCTTTACAAAAGGGAGGAGAAGTGCCTGCTAGATCTACAAAGGGTTCAAGGGCCACAATTTGTGTTTTTAGATCTTTGTGCCACATTCCTTGCACAGCTCCGGGTCCTTTGAAATAAGGGAGAGGTCTCTATCCTTCCAAGAGGACCGTTTGCTGCCTTAAACTTGAATTTCAGTGGTGCATGTTCATTGGGATTCATTCATATATACCGGGTATTGTATTGTATATATCTTATTTCTTATTTTGACTTGATCATCATTGCCTTCATGGCCTCTCTCCGTTTTTTATATGGGTATTTGATTTTCGAAGTTTTATTATTATTATTATTTTCCCTAAAAAATGGGAAGTATAGATTATGACCGTTTTTTATATGGCCTCAATCTGACCATCAGATTTTTTTTTTTTTTTTTTTATTGTTTGTGTTATAAAATTTGAGTATTAGTGGAAAAGAAATTAGGTTCAATATTAAAATTGGTTCGTTGATTTGTGCAGATGGACAATGAAGAATGAACCCACCCAAGACCCAACTGAACCGACCCAGGTAAAGAAGTGGCGGATTAAAAGGCATTAAAATGAAAAATCACTTGATGGGTAGGAGTGGTAATTACTGGACGAGGTCTTTGGGCTTGATGCCTTTATCTATCATTTCATTGAGGTCAGGCCCATAACCAGTGGACCGTTAAAATTGGGTGAAGCCCAGGATAAGCTTAGTTTTGGTTAGGCTCATTGCTGAATAATCAGTCAACCACCTGGCCTTTCGGGTCGTCTCCGACCATATTGACGTGCATCTCCTCCCTCTTGGACAGGGTTCAGACCCGTCTCATAACCCATTATTTCAAAAAAATAAATAAATAAATAAATAATCAGTCAACTTGTATTCTCTTGTTGCGGTTAATTGTTAGTCACTGCAACTTAACAGGACTATGAATAAATTACATCTCTGACCAATGATCGAATTTATAAAGGAGTAAGATACTAATTTGTAACTCCAAATCATTATTTCTATTAAAAAAAATAGTCAACCTAATAAAGCGCGTGGCCACTGGTCAGTCCTTTTCCCAACACAAAACGCGTAAAAGTTGGAACCAGCTGTCACACACACACACTCTCAAATTCAAAATTCAACTACTGGTGTAGCGTTGGACCTATTGGGTCTTGAGAACCTCAATTGCGTTTTACGCGTGAACTATGTAGTTCATTATTCATTTGTTTTGTAGTTCATTACAATCAACCAGAAATCCTCTCATTTTGCTGCTATTTACTTGTCTAGTTTACCCTCCCTCCCTCCCTCTTCAGAATTTGGTTCAGAGGAAGTCATGGAGAGCATCGATCATTTCAGCCATCAACATCCTTTGGTGCTTGTGGATCAAGAGCCGGGTGATCAGGGAAGTCGAAAAGGTTTTTGTTCTGGATGCAACCAAGCAGTACTAGAGGGTTATTGTTATCGATGCCGGAAAGTAGCAGAGGGTTATTGTTCTGGATGCGAGGAAGAATTAGAGGGTTCCAGCTACGGTTGTGGTGAGTGTGGGTTTTTCCTTCATAAGAAATGTGCTGAGCTACAAACGGATATCATTAATCACCCCCTCCACTCCGAGCACCCTCTTACTCTTCGTTTGAATCGTTATGCTTTTAATGGATGCAATGTTTGCAGTAAAAGTATTACATTTTTTTATCGATGCGATTCTTGTGATTTTGACCTTGACCTTAGATGTGCTATGCATCCTCAATTTGTTGCTCAAGAGTTTCAAAAGCTTCAACATTTTAGCCACGATCATCCTTTGATGCTTGTTGAAGATATTGAATTTCAAACCAAAGAAGGAGTCTGCTCAGGATGTAGGGAACCCATGTACAAGTCAAGTCCATTCTACTGTTGTCCCAATTGCGTATTTTACCTTCACAAGAAATGTGCAGAGTTGCCTCTTAAGGTCAATCACCCTGCCCACCGGAAACACCCTCTAAAGCTTTTGGCTAAACCCCCAGCACATCGAGAGAAATGTTCTTGTCATTTGTGCACCAAGTCTTATGAGGGATTTGTTTATTATTGTTCTGTTTGTGAGTTTGATTTCAGAGCTGCGGATGCTTTTTTGCATACAATTACAGCTGAAATTCATGAACATTCGTTGACCCCCTTTTCAGGCACAATTTCATTCGTTTGTAATGCATGTGGAACTGATGGAAATCATGCTTGCTTTACCTGTGTTGAATGCAACCTTATTTTTCATTCAGATTGTACTTCACTTCGCCGCACCATCAAAATAATAAGGCATCCACATCGACTTTCTCACATCTATTTCGTTCAAGATGAGGAGGAAGCTGGAAAACGTGAATGCAACATCTGTCATGATGACATAAATCTGGGATATGGGAGTTACTGCTGTTCAGATTGCAAATATTTTGCTCATGTAAATTGTGCAATTGATGAAGATCTTTTGGAAGATGAAGAGTCCAAACTATCAGATGACTTGATTGCTATCTCTCCTGCTTTTCAGCAAATCAAACCTGGAGAGATAAAGCATTTCAGCCATAAACACAACTTAATATTGGGTGGTGTGGTTAAGGATGGCCGAAGTTGTGAAGGTTGCATGCGTTCTATCCCTACTTCATTTTACTCTTGTGCACAATGTAATTTCTTTCTCTGTAAGTGCTGTGTTCATGGGTTACCCAAGAAGGTGCGTCACTGGACTTGCAAGCATTTAAGAGAACTCTTTTTCTATTCCATTTTTCATTGTCGCTATTGCTGGTTTTGGAGTAGTGGGTTTGGCTACAATTGTAATGCATGCAACAGGATTATGTGCATTCAGTGTCATGAAATTCTCGACACTCGTATTGTAAATATAGAAGGACAGGAGCACTTCCTTTTCTTTGACCACAAATACGAAGGGAAATGTAATGGTTGTGATGATTATCGTTATCAACGCAGTTTTAGATGCAAGGACAAGAAATGCAATTTTGCGTTGGATTATAGATGCCTTGTGCTGCCAGAAACAGCTCGGTATAAATATGACTATCATGCTCTCAAGCTTACTTATCGTGATGATAATGATCTAAGTCAATGTTATTGTGACATATGTGAAAAAACCAGAGATCCAAAGCTGTGGTTTTATCATTGTGCCAATTGCGATATTTCTGCTCATCCTAATTGTGTGCTTTGGAAATCCCCATTTGTCAAGCTCGGGAAACCATTCCGGATTGATGATCACGAACACCCTGTCACTTTGGTGAAGATAGATTTTTATCCTCCTAAATGCAACGAGTGTGGTAAGCCTTGTAGAGATGATCTATCCATTCAATGCACAGAGCCAGATTGCACCTACATATTCCATTGGGACTGCTACCGGGAGCATAAATTTCCTTGGGTTCGTACATTTCCTCGGGTTCTGTGTCTTCTACATAGAGACTAAAGAGCTGACACTGGTATTGTTCTTACGATATTAATTATGTCTCTTATGAAGGTAGACGAAAATGAGATATATCTCATTTGCACTTTATTTTGTTTTCGACTGATTTTTTAAGTTTAGTTTGATCTTCTAGCTGTTTGTTGATGTGGTCGGACTGTAACTTATTTGCCTCTACCAAATATGTCATATGACTATTGTTTGAATTTTGAATGTATTGCTTTAAATAGTTGTTTTTACTCATCAATAATTCGGTCGTATCTGTACTTCAAATACCAGAACAATATTTCTTTCTTCTTTTCTTTATATATTTTGATGTTTATTTGTTTCTATGTGTCCTATTTATGCTTTCTTTTATGGTTCATATATTCTATGCTTATACTTTTACAGAGATAATATATATATTCTCTACTTATACTTTTGTACAGAGAGGATATATTTTACTAATGTGATATTTTATCTTATATCGAAACTTATTAGTAGCAATTTGTATTTTGCAAAATCATATCAGTTTTGATCAAATTAACAATAAAGGCATTCCTTGCGGAGACTTCTGAAGGAAAACCTTACAATTTTTTTTTTCTTTTCCTTTTGGGAAAGCCTTATAATTAGTTCCTGTTCTTCTTTACACTATTCCTGAAGGATTGAATTCAAAACCTCTCTTGACTCCAGCCAGTTCTTTGATCATTACACAAATGCTTTATTGGCTTTCACAAGTCTATCTATCTTGATTAAGTAACAGAAATTAGAATAACTGCTCATAAAATTCATGATTCATGAACATGAAAGAGAACAAATTTCAGGGTTATAAACTCATCATTACATGGCAATATGTCATTGTTCCCTCAACCTATCTCAGAATATCAGAACTAACACCGGGAATCGAAGCAATACCAGTTATATCCATCAGTTAACAGATGGTTGGAGGATCAAGTGAGCTCCACAGACAAAATTGACCTTCATTGCTTGAAGAAGATCCTGTTTCCACTGAGCTGCTGGGAGAATCCAGGCTCTCCTCCACTTTCTTCCCCATCACTTCATTTTCATTTCCTTCTCCTTTCTTGTCCTCTAGACTTTGAATTGACAATTCAACTTTTACTCTTCCACCCTTGACATTTTCTAACCTGAGCCTCAGCCTCAAACACTCTGGTATTCCATTGAAAGCATAAAAAGAAGTAGAGAACTTCCTCTCGTACTTCATTCTCTTCATGGCAGCTCTTAACACTGAGGGCTTGTTCGAGAAATTCTCTGCCTCCACTGGCTCTTCAATCTCTTCAGCCATCTCGCAGGCAGAGTAATAACTGGATGATCCAATGTCATCCACAAAATGAAAATCAAGTGCTTCCATATCAAGTCCTTCTTCAACAATGTCGTCACACCTGGAAGATTGAGTAGCATCACTGAAATTGCAATAATCTAACCCCAAATCTCTCCCACTAGAATCCGCCTTCTTTGTTAAACATGATTCTAGACTCGTTGTCAAGTAATCACAAGAATTTGCAGTAGTATTACTGATGTAGTAGCCATTGGAGATGCTGTAATCTTCAAGATCATTGAGAAAATCAGTGAATTGTGTATCAAACAAATCCCCTGATTCTCCATCATCCTTCTACTCTTCTCCTTGAATTTCTTGCTTGTTGATCAAGGAAGAATCTAGCAAGGAAGCAAAGGTTTTGTTTTTGGCTCTCAACCTTTGGAGAAGGAGGCTAGTGATCTTAGAAGGAAGAGCTGGGGTAGGATTAGAAGCTGGAGAACATGGCCAGAAGTTGGTCCTGGTGTTGGCACCACAGAGGATGCAGCCTGCCTCATCAAAAGCCCTGGCTGCTTCCTCAGCAGTGTCATAGGTGCCTAGCCACACTCTTATCTTCCGTATGGTGTCTTTGATCTCAGGCACCCATATGCCAGATGGCCTTTGCCGGACTCCAACAAATTGCTTCTGAGCCCTCCTGGCTCCTCCCAGGGCAGTAGCAGCTGCTTCTTCCTTCACCATCTCATCCCAAGTCATTGTTTGCTCTCTGGTGTCCTTTTCCATCGCTGCTTGTACCCTTTCTATTGTATGACATGGGAGACAAATGGTGAAAAATGATAATCAACAAGATAAAAAATGGTTAAGACCATGTCCTGAACAA